GTCCGGAAGAAATACAAGTTGTTACCACCGGACATTGTCATTATATATCCACCATCAGTATCGTGTATAAAAGGGCATCACTGAGTGAGGATGCCTCATTCGAGAAGATGGCTCGCTGAGGAAGATCTGGCTCGACAGGAAGGCGAAGACGCAGCGTCGAGGCGAAAAACAAGCATGGACCATCGACTCGGATCACCGGCTCTGAGGAAGACGAAGACGTCGAAACGTTAGCCGAAAATAAATATATTTATCAACCTCGTGCAAGCTTATCAAGAAAGAATACATATTGATTTGTCACACCGAGGTTTAGGGAAGGTCGGTTTCGAAATATCCTTTAATAGTTCATTATGCAAACAAAATTCCACGTTTTGATGAATCGTGAAGCAATGAGATTCATCGCATTCGACCACAGCTTTGTCGTTGTCATCTGTTCTACTCTGATACAATCTGTCATTGTCTATTATTTATTTATTACATTTAATCTCCCATCCTGCTCTTGACGAGAAAATCTTGGAAGTTCAATTAGCGTTTCAAGAAGAACGCTTCCAAATTTTCGAGTTCTTTTATGTCTCTCATTGACGACGGCATGGGATCAATCATGCTTACACTTATGCTCCATCAGATCCTTTCTCAATACCTGTTTGAAAAACTAAAACGGCTGCTGAGGTAGTTACAGCTATCCCAAACTCGACTTTAAATTCCCTCTAATTGTGGGATTTTCGAAAGAAGAGAAAAACCGACCGGCTCTTGGCGAAAGAAAGAATCAACAGCACCCAATTTGGACAACGGCTTCTTGGCCAAACCTCTGAGATCGTACATTTTCGAATGTTTGGTTATCTTTGTACTGTACTTAATGTAGATAAGAAGTTTGGAGTATTCGTTTTGCGATTTTTCAAACAGTAACTGGGAGTATGAAGTAGGTATAAAAGGTAAAGGATAAAGCTCACGGCGTTGATCAGTCCCTGAAGGATGCGCCATGTATTCGACTTCATTAGGCATCGTTTGGAGGTGATTGAATGCATATCTGGCATTTACAATGATTCGCGGTGGCCTACCGATGTGTCGAATCAGTGCTGCTATCCTACCAGACAAACCTGGTACCAATTTGCGGAACACGAAGAGGTGGAAGGCTTGGTGAGCTATTGGCGCCGAATCGATCCCGTGTGTATTGCAGGAACCTATAGCCACTGCGCTACACGCTCCCAAAGGAGTTAGATTTAATGGTCATCATGGTTGACATTGGTGAGATTTATTAACCGTAAATAGTGCTGAAGTTGAAGAATATTGAAGAAAGAAACACATTTATTGTCTTATTTAAGTCTTTTTTTATTTTAACCATTATCTATGTCTGGATTCCACATATTAGAGAAATCTCAGCGATTCTTCTATTCGGTTGTTGTGCCTTTATTCATTTTCCATGAAGATCTTTCCACTTAAACTGAAGGAAGGGCTTTGTCTTCATTATGAATCTCGTTGAAATGCTAAATTCTTCCTGCAATTCTGGGGTAGCTTTACCAGGACATTCCGATGTCATCACCACAGGTGACTACCACTTTTTGTGGATCGAAGGAAGTTGCCCAAAAAAATCTACGGCCAATTTGGCCATCCATAGAGTTGGAAGGTTTCGTTGGCTCGGTGCTCGATTGTACTATCGAACATGCGTGTGATTCACTTCACTTTTAGTCACAGCGCATTGAAGGGCTCTCTCCATTCATTTTATGTAGTTAACCACTCTCCAGAAGTGTTAACTCTAGGTACTCTGCAACTAGTATACAAGCAGAAAAAGGTGTGGTTTAAAAGCTCAGAGGTTGAATGATTGGTTTGCATGGTTTTAATGGTATTCTTTGCAATTTAGCTTGTCGTGAAATTACTGGATCAATTGAACGTCAGAAGTTGTAGATGAGTTTCTCCTCTGGACAGTAATAGAATGCTGACACATCGCATAAACAAGACTGGCAAATGACACAGGAACTAGTCCAAGATCAGATTTCATGAGACTCATTCATCCGCACCGTCAAAAGCCAGTGGAGTTGATGAAATAGGAAGACGACGTAGAATGCATTTGTGGAATTCAGAAAAAGGAATGGGTTATAGATGACACAAGAGTGCTCTGAAAAGTTCCATGGATTGACGGATAAACCCAGCTCTGGATCAGCAGCGGTCATAACGTCTTGCCTCTTGGGTGTTCACATACTGTCAATGCTTTAAATGTGTCGTTTTCTTTTTCAGCAATAGTGAGGTTGTTATACAACACACGTTTACTTCCGTACAAAAGGGACACATACGACACAACGGTATCTGACCTTTCGGCAGTATCTTCAGAGCCTGGGACGGTACACTGATGAACGCATTGACCTGATTTGACCTAGTAAATCACTTATCGGTGTACCCCTCCAGGTTGTGAAGAAGGCGATACTGTCGAACCGTCACTAGAGCCATGTTTTACGTATTTTTTGTACGGAAGCAAACGTGTTCTATATAACAACCTCGCGATCGCTGAAAAAGAAAGCGACGCATTTATAATTCAATGCTGAGGTTAGTAAAAAGTCGGTCTTGGGAACTATCGATGTTTTCCTCTTCTTCGATGTTAAACTCATTAATGCCTCTGCCACGAAAATTTTTAGACAACACGAACTGTGACTATTCTGAGTACTAAGAAGATGTATTTACAGCCACCTGTTGTCGAATTAGTTCCTCTTTTTTTCGCCCACCGACGATGAACTTTAGTTTTTAGAAACACGCTAAAATTCCAGTTCTAAGCACTTTCCTGTAGGGAAAAACTGATCAACAATCAAACTGGTCGTCGTGCGAAGTTCCTTAAACAGGTGTTTACCCTTGTTTTCGTAATTGATCTATGTAACCTGCTATAATGTTGTTCTGAAGGAACAACACGGAAATTTAAAAAAGACTGACAGCGATTTATATAAAGTGTAAAGCATGAAGCACCCGGAGTCAACCTATCCTTCGGGAATGCTCCTTGCATTCAACTTCATTCGTCATAGGGGTAATTGAATGAAATTTTTGCCAAATACGATCACTTGATCGGCATGGCCATGTATTAAGTCAGGGTTTTTATCCTCTCAAACAAATCTGGTTGCAATTTGCTGACGTCGAAGTGATAGCGGGCTCTATTAGCCTAGAGAGCGGGGTGGAACCATCGACCACGTGTGTTCTCTGTATTCGTGACCGTCGCATCCCATTGCTGTTCGAAGTATGGCACTCGTAGAGAACCAGAAGAATAACCACTGAAAAAGTCGATTTAATGCCATTTTTGTGCTCTCCGCTTTATCCCGTTTTATTTTCCTACTTTTACTTCGACAGTCCTGCTTTTTATACTCTAGAATTCATCAATGCTAGTGCACTTGTCTCTTCTGGGATCGCAATCGGACACCATCTGTGCTCCCCAGCACTACTTCAATAGTTTTCTCTTCCCAGCATGAAGATGGAAACTCGCTTTAAAAAATCATCGAAAATATCGTCACGTGCATCACTTGTAGTCCTGCTATTCATCACTTGCGTTCAAGAAGATCAATAAAATTCCCGTTCATCCTTGTTGTTCATTAGATTGCTTCACTGGACTTCGCTTGTTCGAAGGACACGAACGCCATCTCAACTCTTGCCAATCGTCCTTTATTTTCAAAATTCTTCTTGAGAAGACTTAGTTGGGTAATAACTCAAAAGACCGACTTTCTGTAGACCTCGTCATAAATAATCGATATCTTTATTTATATGTTCCTATGAACTGCAGCAAAAACAACAACAACAACAACAACAACAACTTATACCAACTTCTCATCGGTTGAACAAGATCAGTTCATGAAAACATATAAATAAGTATATTTAGGCAAGCTCCCGGGTTTTTTTGAGTTGTTTATTTATTGCCAGGTAAGATTCTCAGTGGGAATTTCGAACTCCTTAACTTGGCAGCCCTTGATAAACCCTTGCTGAACTTCATATTTCGACATCCAGAAACACTTTTCAACCACAGCGGTACACTGTTTCACCATATATATAAAGACTCAGCTGAATTTTTATTATTCCTAAACCAACTGTTTGGGGTTTCCTGTGTAAAGATGTAAGATGAACAAGTCACTTGTTCGAACTTAGTAGTGATGGCAGTGTTTATCCTCATTCTCAACAATTTTTCGTATTATGAGGAGTTTTTAGCCACATTTTTTTGAACAAACATGAGATTGATTCCTCTTGATGTCTAAGGACTGAGATATTTGCGAACTGTATACGTATACTTTATTCTTAATTACTGTTATCGATAAGAATTAGAGTGATTCTGTTACAGTTTCTTCTCGGTGGTGTCGTTTGGCTGGTACTTCTTCTGACCAGCCGACCACAACGAAGACGGCGACGAAGACAACGGCGGCTATCACGGTGCTTAACAGGATCGCTGGTATCACGTAATCAATCCAGCTGGCGATTTTCGTGGTACGTTGTCGATCGAACTGAGAACGTGTTTCTTCGTCGAACTAGCTATCCTCATCTTCGCTGCCAATCCGCTGCCATTTAGAAGCGCAGCGTTTCTTTCCTGTACTGATCGCCTCAAGTTATCCCCATGAAGCTGGTAGATTTATAGGTAGTTTAGGAGTTTATTTCCTGTACTGATTATCACTTCATGTTATCCTCATGCAGCTGGTAGATTTGTAGAGAGTACAAGAGCACGTCTCTATCGGCTGTCTGCCGAAAGTAAACCCATTCCTTCATTCTTGACATAAAACTCTCGAAATTCATTTCATATCAGCATTTTCGAAAGGTTGCCACCAGAGCTCTCTTTTTTCAAACTGTTAAATATAATTCAACCAATTAAAGCAGCTTTATACGCCAACATCTACATCGTTGTGTTTTTCATACTCAGATTTATACCTGTCTGTTCGATTCCACCCACTTTATCGTCATTTCTCTTTCACTTTCAGCAGTCGGCGAATATGGTCTACATTTATGTATTCAGCACATTATTATTCTTAAATGTAAACTCTCAGCTACTTGAAAAGGATTATTCACCGCTTCTAGATGTAAGCAATGCTTCACTACCTTTGCCTCGATTATTTGACGTTACGATGCATTGACAGCAGTTCGTATTCAACTGAACTGTTCACTTTCGACGAAAAATGAATAGATCAGTATGCTTTTAGAGAATATTTTAGCAAAAAGCAAGTCCTTCAAATCCAGGGATCTATCTGAGGTTGATGCCCACAGGATTGGCATATTTGCGTGAGATCGGCGTGAAGGTGGTGAACGAGCAAATTCTCCACCTATCACTGCCGACCATTCGCGAACGAATCGAGAATGGCGAGGTGAGCACTCATTGAATGTATATCCGTTCTCATTCCTATTATTTGTCTCGTTTTTAGAATCATATATGTTCTCATTATGAGTATTACTATTACTGTCGTTAATGGATTCAACCTGTCATGCACTCCTCAAATTATCGACTAGACGCATGATTCAGTTCTGTTATAATAGTCACTGCAATCCTGAAAGCATAGAAGTCGTAAGAGAGCAAATCCCTACTGAACCACATAACATGGTGGTGGCCAGTTATTAAGACCGAGAAACAGCAGAGCACGGCTACCTTCCTCAGACAAGGAGAACGAGATAGGGAGCTTCCGTATAGAGAGGTCACACTCTTTTTCAAATCGGATGATTTTGCATAAAAAGATCTCTACTGTGTAACTGTGTGAGAAACCTAAGAATATTCACTTGCTGACATAGTGAGGCTCGAATTTGTTGATCAATACCATCAGTGACTGGGAATTAGAGCGTACAGTAAGTTATCCCATAGTATTTTCTTTCCCATCCTATTCATTCAAGGCTGATCGACTATAACTCTAACTGGATGAAGTATTCGTTGTATTGCGAAAGTGTACTTGCTATGTAGTCTTCAGCCTTTCGCTGTTTATCGATTGGTCCACATAAATGTCGATCGAACCGTTATTTATTTTGTCAATTAACAAATGAAATTAGAAAAATAAAGATTCGCGGTGATCGCGACCTTGGCACTCTACAATTTTAAATTTAGACCAATTTAGACTTTAATGGATCCTAGAACTGTTTCTATAGTCTCTAAAAATGTCTATAGATCTCAAATGAAATTCCAACGCTTTTCAGAATTTTTGGTCGTTTATAAGCATCCAGTCCGATCTAAAGGTGGATGTTTTGTCCTAGAATTACAGATCACGGCGATCGTATGTAGTGCAGTGGTTAGAGATGCTCTGTAATACACGTTGGATTAAGCCCTAGTTCTATCTCGCTCCCTTGGCTCACGCTACCAGACTTTATAGGAGGATAAAAACGCTATCTTGATAGAGTTATTAGTATTTAAATACAATTGCTGTTTCAGGTTTCTATTTACGGTGCACATATTTCGAAGTATTGGCCACCACAGGAATATTCATTAGACCTTATAGAGCCGAATATGTTCCAATGGGCTATGTCAAAAATGCATATTAGGTTTGTTTTTCAATATTTCTGTCTTTACTTTTCCTTATTGATAAGCTTTTCCCTCCAGAAAGGAAAAGGAAACTTGGAAAAGTGAACTAGAAATAGAGAAGCAACAGGAATTACTCGTATGATGGTTCATGAATTCTGCTCCATAAAATCATCACTGAGTACAACTGATGAGTTTTTACTGGTGGATCGGCTAATTTTCACTCGTATTACTCTGAATGAAAGGAGAACCGGTTATTTACGAATCAACGCTAGGATTGTTAAATGTCGACGAAGACCAACTAGTGTCCGTGTTTTTACGATGACTACATCAGACGTGATTGCGGATGTCCGTAATTGCACAGAAAATCTCACAGCTGACGATTTAACGATTCGTAGCAAACAATTTACGTGAATTGGGCTAAAGATGGATCGTAAAATAGTATTCTGAATTATGAGCTTGCTTTACACGACAAAAACGGCGAAAGGAAAACGATGAAAGAATTGAAAAATCTGTTATGTAAAACATTGCAAAAAACCTGAAACTGCTAAGAAGAAGCATGCAGTCTTTTGCTTTCTGTATGATCGCAATCCATGAGAATTGAATCCAGAGAAAAAACGTAGGTGGTAATACAACTGGTTCCCAAGGCCGAACTGGACGACTTTTCGTCCATTTATATTGTTGGTTTTCATAAAGTTTTTCTACTTTTCTATGCTAACATTGAAATTTCCTTTTAACGGTTTACCGCCTCATCGTGGCTAGTAGATGTTCCTGGGTGTCAGGATGCGATGTGCAACGAGGGATTCATCCGCCCGGCATGGTCGCCTAAGCTGAGAAGCAGTCGGCGACTCCATCAGGAAGCCCATTTAAGAGTAAACCGATACTAGGGTCCACCACCGTCTTGGTATCAAACTAGTCACATGGTGGCAAATCTTCCTCTGATCCACAAGTGCGGTGACTGCCTGTGATGGTGATAACCTGGGGCAGACTTTGGCCACGCTGACCTAGGTTCTCCAGCGAAACACGTTCGCTAAACCAGCAAAACTCCGAAAAATGGAAAATGTGCTGAGGTCCGAACAACTAGTGAGCACGGCCGTCCAAATATTCAAGTATCCAAGTACGTTGAAATCCAACCCTTCTGGATCTACTAAACCTTCTCTATCTAACATAAGCGAACAATCAATGTTTGTTTTAAATACCTCTGCTTGATCACTAGGACGTCACAGATAAATTTTTGAGCAGCAATTTTTTGAGTCATAAGCTTTAGTTTATGGTGAAAGGTAGCTCGTTCGAGAACCCCTGTCAGTGCTTTCTTAAGGTGATGACCATAACTCCTTGTTAGACTGGCAGCTGAGAACTTGTTAGATGATAAGCTATTCTAAGGATATCAAACTACTTTATAAGTTTTAGTTCTACATTTCGCTACGCTTTAGATTGTTATCTGTTATTGGACGTTGCCGTCGTATTTGAAGGATCTACTCTTTTTGTTTATTTGTACTACCTATTTTCACATATTATACCGATCTCTGCACTTCTTTCATTGGTTTCGTTGTTTTGCATCCATCATACACAAAGTTTCTGGGATTTGTATGTGTGCGTTTGCCAGCTGCATTTCATAATCAGCATGAATGTCATGGAGGGCTGGTCGATCATGGTTTTCTTTGGTACCTTGATATAGCTGTTCTAGAGGTTCTATAGCGTATGTGCTTCATCACCGCGGAGTTTTTGACCTTTGTAGATTAAAAAGAGCTTTTACAAGTTAGGTAGGGTAAGGTATTCAGTGAAAGCCGTCTACTTTCATAACAAGGACACTCGTGATTTAAATCCTTCTTCCATTCATCTGCAAACTTATTCCTTCACTCACGTTCTTTCCCTCACGTTCCTTGTGCATTATCATTAATTCGGTTTTGCTTTCTCAACGTCAAAGCTCTTTTTATACAGAGAGAATTGGAAGATAAGGATCACTTCATCCGAGCACATCCCCTAGTTTTCCTACGTTGGCGACAATGTTATCCGCTGTAATGTGGCAGCAGGTTTGAGCTTCTAAACCGGTCCACTTCTTGACTATGAACGTGAGAGCTTCTAGAAAAACCAGTAAAATTATTTTTTTTGCGCATTCGTAAAAGCTCTTCTTTTCTAAGAACATGAAAGTCTGCACAAAAACCAAGCGATATTTCTGGAAGAAACCTGAAACTGTTTCATGGATGTGTGACTCAATTAGCTGGATATTTTAATGAAAGTGAGTCTTTCTCATGAGCCATAAGTAAGTATGAGAATCGGCGAGTTTTCTCTTAAAGATCAAGTTTATATCAAAAGTTTCTTGCCCGGAACAAGCCAAGATCATCAAGATTCCTGTCAATCTTCCACGAACAAGCGACTATTGTTCTTAAGCGTTCTTCTTATAATGAAAGTGGCTTAATATCTGCGGCAGTCACGAACCGACAACACTTTTATCTACGTTTGATATAAGAACACTTGCAGAAATAAAGAAAAACATCTAAACAATTGTTCTATTTGAATACTTGACTCGTTATTTTGACAGTTAAGAAACTTTTGGAATTTCTCTAGAATCCAAGCTAGTCGTGGATACTTGAGCAGTCAGCAATCGTCCCATGTGGGAAATTAACTGCTGTTGCGTGACTAAGTTTCTGACGAAGACACCAAAAATTCTTCACATCGAAGTGTCCTCGTTATGGGGTCTCCGCATGAGAACTCGGGTTGCATCCTCTGCTTAGGAGAAACCTTGGTTATGGAATGCACTATTCTTTCCTCCTGGCTCTATATTGCAATTCGACACTCGTGAATAGCATCATTCGTCAGAGTGAGGTAACGAGCTGGAAATATGAAGCATTTGTTGGACAATTGGTAGAGTCGATGAAAATTAAGCAACAATGGTTTGAAAACCGACTTCCCTTTAGCCTCGACATGGGAAGTCAGATTGTTTTTTTTTCACTGATAAGCTAAGATGAGGCTGGCAAGAACCTATTCTGCTAGCGTTTCGCCGCGGATCAGTGCGGCTGTGAGGAAGGCGAATGCCCCGAAACGTTGGCCGCATAAAATTTTTTTGGCAATCTCGTGTTGGGTTGTCGATGAAAACAAACAGCAATAGTTTAAAGGGCCTTTTTTTAATTGCCTAAATAGTCCGATATCACACAGGTGCTGATGCCTGAACTTTTTTCATTCGGCTTGTAGTCTTGCACTTAACACCCATGAAGAACCTCAAATTTGCGTTTGGATGCTGCTGCCACCTGAGGGCTTTGTTTTCTTCATGAATATCGTTGAACACTGTGTTCATTATTGCCTGGCATATTTAATCACGGCATTTTGCGCAGCCATGGTTGAAAAAATTAAGGGAGTTAAAAGAAAACGATAAAGCTCTCGGCGTTAATCAATCCAGGAGGGATGCAACATGCATTCAACTTCATCTAGCATAATTAGAAGTAACTGAATGCATACCTGCTCTCTACAATGGCTCGCGGTGGCCTACCGATGTATTAATTTGCCGAGTCCGGAAGGATGGAGGGCTTGGTGGCCGGAGGCGCGTGGGTCGATCCCATGTGTGTTATTGCAGGGTGCCATAACCACTGCGCCACACTCACCACAACTGAGTTAAGTATTAGGGACATTGAAAATCTCTCCATATTGCACAAATGTACAAATGAGCAAGATCTAGATGATAATTATGTCTTTGGAGGCATTTGCTTAAGAACTTAGATTTCCCGTCACTACATGAAGTGTAAGCAAATGCACTTGTTCTAGTCGTCCATCCTGACCGATACGTTAAGTGATAATGGAACTTGATTCTCACTAGAATCACAGGGTGATTATGCATCTCCACTATTTCAACACAAGCAGTCACCTTTGTGGACCGTTTTTTGACTAAGGTTCTTCTAAAGTGACAACGATTCTTTCGATTTTTTGGTACAAGCCTTTTTCTGGCATTGTTAGATAGAGGTTTACGGGAGTTATTACTCTCACAGTAGCTCTTAGTATTTCTTATTCAGAGCTGGCGGCGAATTTCAAGCCTCACTTGTGAATCCATTACTTCCTACCGTGCCGATTATAGGGTACTTCGAAGTGCTACTTGGTCACGTGGCACTTATGATTTCAGTTCAATTGGAAAGGTAGCTTTTTGAGCTTATTGAGCAGTTCTCATAAATATGCAGAGATTTTTTGGAATGAATCTACTTTATTTGAAGAAACAACAATCTTGGAAGCTAAATGCAAAGACTTCCGAAATAGAAAATATTGTCTACGTGTCAAGATGCTTTTAAAGAAGAAATAAGGTGTACTTTCGAATGATTTTTGTTCAGGAGTCTGCATTTATCCTTTGAGATTTTAGAATGATACGACGACCTTTCTCAATGGAGGCTAGTTCACATTTTTAATGACAGTCGTAATTTGAAATCATGTATTTTTGGGAGTACCTCCGGTTCGCCACAAGTTCGATCGGCGCACTGTCAATCGGCAATCGGCTACGTTGATTTGAATGTCCGCAATACTGGTGTCATTACGGATTTCTTCATTAACGCTTTTAAAGGTATGTAACGTACACAAACATATATATTACACACTGTTGTGTATGCTTATTTATGAGTAGTAATGAAATAAGTAGTATGAAATAATGAAATAATAGAAATAGTAATAAGTAATAAAAAACGGTGATTGTACGAGTTCTATCGGCACTTATGGACGAGTTTCAGCGTTCGTTATCGCGAATTTTAAACCGCAAGTGGAGCATCGAATGTGTTCGATGATTGAGTCGATTATCAACCAGGATATGAATCGAATACTTAGCACTATGCCACTGAAGGTTTTATTATTCATATTTTACTAAGTATTGCAATTTTCCTCTTCCCTTTTTTATTCGCTTTGCAAAAATTTTAGACCATTGTTATTTTTAAGAAAATGTGTCCAACTGTATAACTACTTGTCCTCATATTCAATTAGACGAAATCTCCGCTAATTACAAAATAATCAGCATTTTCTAAAGTACTCTTAGTTTTTTAGATTCGTAAAGACTTTGTGTGAATTGGATTTTAAGCTAGGAATCTTATCCCAAAAATTTTGTGGCCATTCCTAATACTGTAGATCTATAAACAACCGAACAGCTTACGGTTCTACGGCTTTAGGTAAATTATCAAGCGAAAAATTACTTGTGAGGTTAACAAACATATATTTATTAAAATTGCTGTGTTGTAAGCTGTCCAGTGAACTACAAAATCATGGCAGATTCAAAATTCACTCCTTTTACTATCGAATGACCACTGAGTTTTACTGATAAACTTACTCATTGTATTAAGCCTATTAATTATTCAGCTAATTCTATTAATCTCTGCCATCAGCAATCACTCATCGGCGGGATTGATCTGGGGAGCCCAAATCGGCAACGAAGCCAGTTGAGCTGAGGCTGTAGTTACAATCACAATGTTAACTTATTATTTAGGCAGGCGACACTGAGAGGCAGACGAAACGAAGGACGCGCATGGTGTGGTGGAGAACGCGTTACTCCCCGGAAAGAATAATAGCGCGTTCATTTTCCACCGCAGGCACCTGCGGTCCGGAGTTTTGCAAATATCTCAGCATCATTGATGTTACATTTCGCAATATATCCTGCCATCAAAAAGAGTAAGTAGCGAAAAATAAGTTAGCCTATTGATTATCTAAAGCAATGGACTTGGTTGATGTGATGGATAGCACGTGAGCCGCCGGTATGGGAATCGCAAGTTCGAAGCCCAGTTGACGTCCCTAGTTTTGCTCATATCTCGGCTTCGTTATGGTTGCATTTATTACGTTTCATGACAAATTAGTGTCAAATAATTTGGACATTAACGGCGCTAATTTCAATTGAGAATCTCTTTTTTAGTGAGAATTCAAGGCTAAGAATTGCTGTAAAATCTTTTATTATTAACACATTTTACTAACAGAGATAAAAAGGATAAAGCTTTCGGCGTTGGTCAATCCCTGAGGCGTGCACCATGCATTTGGCTTCATTAGGCATCGTTTGGAGGTGACCGAATGCATATCTGTCCTTTACAATGATTCGCGGTGGTCTACCGTTGTGTCGAATCAGTGCTACTATCCTCCCAGACGGCTTTGGTACCAATTTACCAACCCCGGAGGAACGTAATGTTTGATTAATGGGCAACGGTCGCGGGGATCGATTCCACGGATGCGTTGCAGGGCGCCCCAACTACTGCGCTACATGCGCCCTTAACACACTCCACTAGGCATAATTTTCCGTTGCAGCCCTTTCGGCCTATGGCTAATTTTTTGATGCAAGTAGTGTGCACTGAAAAATTCGTCCAAATAAGTTTTTGTAAGATATTTAGCGTAGAGAGTAGCTTCTTGATGGACCATCTTTTACACAACATCTGTGTCGGATACGCCATGGATTGAACCATGAATGCGTCGTTTTCTTGCCCAGCAATCGCGACGTTCGCGACGACACGTAAAAAAAGCGGCGCTGAAGAGGGCGGTACTGCCGAAACGTCAGCTAGCGTTGTATTGTATTGTGTTTTTATGGAACTAAATGTATGCTGTTTAACAACCTCGCGATTGCTGAACAAGAAAAGGACACATTTATAATCCAGTGCCGGCGTTAATAGAAAGTCGATCCCGGGAGTTGTAGATTGAATGCAAAAATTATATCTTATAGGCTCCTTGTGGCACAGTAACGTCTCGAAAGGTTTCACATTGAAACGAAGGCGCGCGATAGCCTGAAATTTTTACAGAGTCACTAGAGTCACAAAGCTTGAACAATTTCTTCTTTACCCTCTATATAAATTGACCTTAAGATTTTTTCAGTTCTCTTATCGTCTTATTTTTTCTCCACTTTAGTGTTTTCGTGTATTTTTACAACGAAGAGTTTTAATATCTTTCTGAAAGCCCATATCTGCTGTGTTATTGATTGATTTGTTGATTAATGTGGAATTTCAGGTCCGAATCAACGAGAATAATCTGAACATTATTGGCCAGACATTTGGAATAGTAAAGGTATTTTTATTGTTAGTATAAAATACTGTAAAGCTGGGCATTATGAAGCTTCAAAAACAAACCCTTTAAATTGATAACTTTATGATACGTTTTATTACTTGTAATGTTTAAAAAAAATTTATGTTAATGCTCGCTGCAAGCGTTCCCTCAATTACGCAATGTCGCATTCAATTCGTATCAAAGCTCTATCTGCTGTAGAAATATTAGGTAAATGCTTTGAGGTATAACATACATCCATGTATTAGGATATGAAGTAGATAGCGAACTGGTAATGATGCTGATCGTCGCGAGCACGGTGCTGGTTCGATCTCGCGTCGGGCTCACCAAGCCTGTCATCCTCCGGGGTCGAGGAATTGGTACCGGTCTTGAAAAAAATCACTCTCTGTAAGTCACGGAAAAGCGGCTCTGAAGAAGGCGATACTGCCGAAAACTCAGCTAGCGTTGTATTGTATTGTGTTTTTCTTTGGAATGGAACTCTGTAATTCAAGTGGGAACGTTCTAGCTCGGCTAACTCAGGACTCCGGTGAGAATCGACTCGACTTTCATTACACGGCATTCAGGATGGAAGAAAAGCCATCAAACGGAAGCCGAAGCCACAAGTAAATGTTGCAAGGCCTCCGTGGATGATGAATGCAATGAAACGAATTGAATGTGTGAAGTAATGGGGACCGCACAGTGGGTGTATTAGGTAAAATTTTAAAAAATAGAATAAATTACACCATGTACAGCAAAATATTGGAAATTAAGGCATTTTGAAAGCATATTCTATAAATATAGCGTGGAAAGCACAATGCTTAAAAGTTTCGTGCCATACATTCATGCTTCTTAGTTCGACTCCGCCAGTCAATCTTTTATTCCTTTTCAGTCTATATATTGCCATCAATTTTCTTCTGGATGTTTCCTTTAAAGTACAAAACAGGTAATGTAACTTTCTGTGGCGAAAACCCTCTTATAAACCTCTAACAGGATTCCAGAGGGAGACGGCTCAACGAGCATTCTATCACATTTATGAACACGGCAAAAATCCACGAGTACTAGCCGAAATCATACATTAACCAGAAGATATTAGCAAAAGATGGATGTGAATAAATGAACCCAGTATAAGAATTGCTGGAATCTGCACGATATGTTATAACGGGTCATGTAGAGTAAATAGAAAAATATTCGAGTTCTTCGATGATTAATGAGAATACAAGTGATAAATGTGGTTTTATATATACGTATACATTTTTTACTTTATTTTATATGACCCATTATCACGTTTACTATGCGGATCCGAGCTCTTTTCACATTCGATTTGTTTATTTTCATCCATTATACACAAGATCTTCCAGTTTTAACGCGTAGCTTCGGTTGCATCTCCCAACGGTTTACCGCCTTATCGTGGCTGGGAACTGTTCCTGTGTGTCGGACTGCGATGTACAGCGGGGGATTTGTCCCCACGGCATGGTCTCCCAAACTGAAAAGGAGTCCGACGTTTCCATCAGGAAGCCTAGCTAAGAGTAAACCAATACCAGGGTCCACCACTGTCCTTGTATTAAAGTCGCGTGGTGGCAAATCTCCTGATTCAAAAGGGCTGCGACTGCCTGTGCCGGTGACGACCTGGAGCAGACCTTGACCAGGCTGTCCTCGGGATTCCAGGGAGCCACAATAGCTTAGCCAGCAAATTTCCGGAAAATGGTGATTATACTAGGGCCCGCACAACTAGTGATGATTGGCCGTTCAACTATCAAGTATCAAGTAAGCTTCGGCCGCTGCTTAAGAATTTTCATTTCATCCTAAATGTCGTAGAATGCTGGTCGTGTCGATCCTTTGTGGAGTCCTGAGATAGCCGGGCTGGAGCGTTCCTAATCGGATTGCAGAGAGTGATTTTTTCCCGGACAAGTCACGTATAGATTTTCCGACCCCGTAGGGACGAAAGGCTTGGTTGGCCTAGGGCGGAATAGAACTAGCTCTGTGCTCGTGATGACCGCCATCACTACCACTGTGCTATCCGTCTCCTAATATATATGTAGGATTAGAGATAAAGAATGTTGGATAGCTCTTTAATATAGATGTAGAATCAGGGATAAAAAGGACGAATAGAGCTTAGCATTGATTAATCCAATGCATTCGATTTCATCAAGCATCGTTAGATTTGACCGAATCCATATCTGGCCCATAAAATTGCTCGCGGTAGCCTATTGATGAGTGGAGTCAGTGCTATTATCCTGCCAGAGAAATCTGGTACCAATTTTCCGACCCCAAGAGATGAGAGACTTGGTGGGCTTAGGGCATAGGATTGAACCAGAAAGCGTGTATTGAAGGGCATCTCAAACACTGCGCTACGCGCGCGTTTTATGTATGTATATTATTATCACTGCTATCATTATTGACCTCATCAATATTGTCGTTATTATTATTATTATTGATTGATTGATTGATTGATTGATTGATTGTCATTATTATTAACTACTATTTTCGTTAATTCTTGTCATTATTATTATTTGTTCGATTAATTAACAATCATTCATATTTATCATTATTATTTATCATTATTACCCATTATTATTATTACCATTGTTAAATATTAATGTCACAATTATTATTATTGTTATAACTGTTATTATTACTATTGTTATTATTATTAACTGCATTAACTACATGGCTAGGCATCACACTGTGAGGATCACTGCACTTACATCCGATACGTTCCCACACATCCACCATTCACGAAGTTCTCTTGCAACTTTTTTTGTATGTAGCTTCGGCTGCTACTTGGGATTTTTTCGTTACGAATATCATTAAATTGTGCTCGTGACGATACTCTCTAGAACCCTGAAATAGCCATACTGGGGCGTTCCAACTTCGAACGGCGATGAACTATTCCCAGACAAGTCTGGTTTCAATTTCCCAATCCCGTAGGAATGAGAGGCTTGGCTGGCCCGCTGCGGCGTTGCACCACATCCTATATAGGCTGGGCAGTCTGCGAAATGAGCGAGATCACTGCCACTGCGCCAATCACTTATGGCCATCGTCTTTACACTAATATGCTTAGTAATCTGATTAAGTGAAATCCTAGATTTTTTCAAGTCTTAGTAAAATACTACAAGTTAAACATTTCTTTATTTATCTTTTTCGAGGTTTTCAGAAGGAATTATTGGAATGACCTTTAGTCAATATAAATTCTTAAATGAACGTATGCAAACTCATTCTCACGATTTGAGCAAAATACATAAATAAAAATAAAGATAATTGTCCAGGCACTGTGAATACTGACAATCAATAGCTATCTTTTGAATTGCCTCAGTGGTTCTACATACAGCAATGTAAGGTCATGTTATTCGCCTTTTCACTTTCAATAAACTATGTTACAGCCGAAGAGCATCATTGGTCAGAACGGATTGAGAAACTTTACACTGATACATTTCGTGGAAAATCTTCGAGAACAGAATCTTTTGCTCGACTATCATCTCACTGTTGATCCTTTCGTACAAAATGGTGCCATTGCGATTCTGGCCAGAGGTGAAATATCATGGTACGTACATCATCAAAAACTCGATTTCCCCATTGTTCTATGTCCAATATAGATCTATTTCTAGCATTTTGACGAATTTTTCTTTCGGTTCTTCTTTGAAGTCAGATGTTATTCTTTGAGATTCCAAGTGTCTCTTACTGAATCACACTATGTTTTTCGGCCCAGATTCTGCTTAAAACCCAATCGCCTACAATCACACTCAAGAGTTGTGCTGTTGCCATAAGCCACGTTTTTACTCTGCACAAGCTAGTATCTTTCGGTAATAGTAGTTTTCAGATTGTGTTGGTAACTCCATTCGCTTGACACTCTAAAATATTTTTCCCTAGTTTTATGATGTTGGAAACCTATCTTCAAGTTCTCACTGGCATTTGGAGAGCTTGTCTGAGAGTCCGTAAGAATTTAAGCTTGAGAATTTACCATTTCTCTTTGTTTTAGGCGAGGTAATGGCGGTACACCTTTCAATCCACCAAACGTCAAGATTCCTTTCCCACATGGTTGGTTTTTTTTATTTGCACGTAAACGTTTAGTTCGATACGATTTCCTGGTTATTCTTAGCCGCAATCCAGCTTTAGAGCTTAGTTGCTAACGAACATTCAACGCGAATCTGCGCGAAATATGCACTACGACCTGTTTTCCGTTCTAATCGATCTGTATATTTTACACAGTGTCGGGCAGCATGCCCAACTAATGACTGAAATGCGAAATTGATTGTATGTTTGAATCCTTTGAAAATACTCGCCACTGCTATTAATTTCTTTTAAAGGTGTGCATATGGCCGAGTTCTTTGCTACCGATTACATAGCTAATTCAATGCTTTATCATGCCTATAGACAACATCTAATGGACGTTGTCGTTGGTCCAGAGAGCAGTCCACAGTTAAAGGTGTCAACGTTAAGATTTCCTATTTAAAATCTTTCGAATATAAGCTATACATTAGGTAAGTTATCCAGGCATCTATTTTCAGCAAATTACTGTTTGATGAAAAAACAAAGTGACGGTAGGAGAAAACAGACGATTTAACCGAATTTGAGCACAGCAGGATTAATTGAGCTCACAACTTACTTGAATGCTTCAATGTTCCGATCGGTGTATGTTAATAATTGTTTTCAAAAGAATTTTCCACTCCACTCGTATTTAACTGGTTTGGAGAGGATTTTTTACCTTTGGACCTCGAGGAAACCATGCAAAGGTTTTCCAACCTTGTCACCACGCGAAAACTTTGGCATCTACTGATCAGTGATCAGAAGTTTGCATCTTTAGCATTAGGATTATTCCAGAACTGTAGCGATTTCAGGTGTAGGCTTATTCTCATATGCTTTTCCGTTTCCAGCTAGAAATCTTGAGTTCCTTCTTAATGCGGTTATCCATCGATATACGAGGAATATTGCACCTTTAAACATTGGATTTAATTTCAAGAAAACGCACCAGAGCTGTGAAGGCGTGCTCTTTCATCCTAACTTAACAGGTTTAGAATGGATAGTGTGATTATGTCCTTGTTTCAGATTTTTTTTTACTAACCTTGTCTTCGCTTCTTTAGTTTGCCGAATCACTACTAAAAATCAAACAAGTTACTGCATAAAAGCTGGAGAAATGCCCATAAGAATGCCATCATGTCGTTCTGAGAGTGAAACGAAGCGTTTCTGTGCTCGCCTTACTTAAATTTACCTTAGCGTAGTCAGATTAAATGCTCTTATATTTGAACTACTACGTCCGTCTCTAAATTCGTCCTGCGCTTTTGCAACGATGATTTATTTATAATAATAAATTAATCTTCTAAATAAAAGTATTAAGATTTGCAAGATACCTATCATATTTAAGGATCTCCTATTCACATCGTGTAGTTCCACCTTCTGTATCGGCGAACATCTTGGCACTCTTGGTGAACAATATCCTGATAGAGAGGTTGAGATCGTCTTCACTGCGAGAAGGGTATCTCGACTTGTTCGAATATTTGATATAGTGTGGATATTTGACAACTGTGACCTTTAGTGGTGAAACTTCTTGGAAAAACAATAATTGTAGTTGAAGAACCTCATGACTCTTCCTTATTTCTCAGTAGAATCTCTACCAGTTTTTCTTCTACCAAAGAACTGCTCTCTTTGAGTTGGTGTTCAAGCAATGTGTGTGAAAAACAAAAAAAGGAACTTTTGTCTATAAAAGTGGACTGACTAAAATCCCCAGATTATAGTTGACCAAAGGGCGCCTATGCCCTTCACTGAAATAAACGGCTTGCCTGAAAAGATCTTTTTCAGGCACCGTTGATTGTTTTCATTGAGAATCGTGCCAGATTTAGACTTCACGGACGGATGAACATGTATGTAAGGCCGAGTAACGAAACGCAAGTAAAAGAGATGGTAGGCGATGAACAATCAACATTTCAAACGCAATTAAATTTTTAATATCCCGTACGTATTCGAATACTTGGGTGGTGCAAAATTTTTCTCAGCAGAATTTCCATTCAACCGACGACACTTCGTTGGGTGGACAATGTTTTTGCTTTGGAGTACTGAATAACACGTAATTTGCTTCGGTGCTGTTAACCGTTGCCCGTCAGACTCACAAAAAGACTCCGATCTTTAGAATAGAACCACAGCTTCCTTCTACAACAGTGACAATTTCTGGCATATATCTACCGTAACCTAGCTTCTAAGCAGAAATTTCGAAATATATTCTAGTTCAAGAAGCACGCTCTAGCGCTCATTCCTTGTGAAGGGATTGGATAACTCTAATCCCAAAAAGATAAACCTTCCGATCCACATGAGCCGGCGACTGTTTGTGAAAACGACGTGGAAACGCAGTGGTTGGGCGGATTTCTTAGTGTTCTGAGAAAAATGCTTGGCCAAAGCGGCTACATTCCAATTTAAAAAACGATGAAGAAAAAATTTTTTGCTTGTGACCGCATAGCTATACGTTAAGGTGAGACATTAAGCTGTAGCGTTTCAGACATTAAAATAACAGCCAAATATGACTTACATACTTCCGCCGTGTTAATTTGATGTGTTGAGTTATCGTGTGGAACTTTTGAACTTTGGGTAAGAATTTCATTGATGCATGTCAAAGTTGAAACGGTAGTATTCGTGATTAGCTATGGTAATATTGTTTGAATACCGTAATAAATAAGAAGCATCAGTTGTGGAAGGGTTCTAATAGCATTAGACTTGCGATATTATACTTGGGCGATTGTTGGATAGATCCAGTAGCTCCGAATTAACCAAGCAGTGATCCCTCCGCTCTCTATGGCGTCAATATATTGCTACCCAGTTTTCCGAGAAGATACTGAACAGTGGCAAATGTATAGCTAGGCTAGTGAAGCTTATTGTAGACGTCAAATATGCTCCAATCACAAACGATTCAACTACCATTTCTCTTACGGGAACTTCAACAAAAGTATCGATTCTATGAGAAACTATACCGGAATTTGTTTTATTCATTTTTTTTTCCGAGATCGGTCCATGTCACATCTCCATGTCTGATGAACACCGGACGCGTTTCCCTTTATCCTTTTTAGTTTTAGATTATTCGATCGGATACAACAATGACGGCGAATGTGAATATGTGGTTAAATGGTACACGAATCATTGGCAACGCTACCATTGAGAATCTCGACTTCAGACTATTAGAAACAAAGGCTAGTGTGAATTTAACTCTCCAAAACAACTGTAGTCTGTTCATTTAGGATAACGAACAGTAAAGGTACTTTGGAAGTGTAACTCCCTTTTATTTCTAATAACAGAAGGTTTTACCACTTTACGAAATTGATTAGACCGAACATTCAAAACCTAACCAGTCCTTACTTTATAAATAATTCGATTTTTAATCGCTTTTTTAACGACGCGATATTCTCGTGGAATCCTTTTTTCTTCATATTAGGGCTCTCACTAGAATTCACTGCACTTTCAGAGACTACTCGTAATTTGAGAGGTAAGTGAAAGAGTGTAACACCAATTTCATTGCGAAGTAAATCAATATAAATTGAAAATAAATCAAGTAAGAGTTTTTGCTTATATCTTTACTTCGTCGTTTTTCTTTGGTGTAATTTCAACATTTCTATACATGTAACTCCTTCGAGTTACCCTTATCAAGCAATTGCAAGGGTGCTATCAGTTGTTGTTGTTGTTGCTGCTGTTGTGGTTCGGTGGTTGACATCTCGGCGACTTTGCCTTCTTCAGACTCCGGTCGTATTTTATGTAACAACATCCATATAATTCCATATAATTCATAGTTAAATTTAAATTGACTTTCTGTAAACCTCGACATAGATAGCTGATATATTTACTTATATGATCTTATAAATTGATCTCACTGAGCTGATACGAGGTTACTATAAGTTCCCGTTGTCGTTCGTGTTGTCGTTGTCGTTGTTGTTGGTGTTGCTGTTTTTCTTGTTGGTCGATGTCTGACGTTTTGGGGATTTCGCCTTCCTCAGAGCCTAGACGTATTTTATACAAGAACACTTTAATTATTCGGTAGAAGAAAAAAGCAAAGCATTAGTGAAGATTCAGCATAAAATATGTATATATGTAACATAACATATAATCTAAGGTCTAACAAATAAAATAAGCTGGATCTTCATCAATACTTCGGTTTCTTTTCACCGAATGAAGGTTAAAAGGATAAAGCTCTCGGCGTTGAGCAAACACAGTGGGATGCACCATCTATTCGACTTCATTAAGCATCGTTTGGAGGTGATTAAATGCATATCTGGTCCTTATAATGAGTTTTGGTGACCTACCGATATATCGAGCCAGTGCTGTTATCATCCCAGACAGCTCTGGTACCAATTCGCCGACCCGGAGGGATTGAAGGTTTGGTAGGTCATGGGAGCGGGGATCAATTTCACGTGTGTGCAATGGTGCCTCCAACCACTGCGCCACAGGTGCCCTTCGTTTCCACCTAATAATTAAAGTATTCTTGTATAAAATGCGTCCAAGCTCTGAGGAAGGCGAAATCGCCGAAACGTCAGCCTTCGACCAACAATACCCATAACAACGACAACGCAAACTTATACCAACCTCGCATCAGCCCAAGAAGATCAGTTTATAAGAACATATAAATAAACAACCATATAATTCACAAATAAGCAGTTATATTTATCAAAAACTACTTGCCGAGTTGTTGCGAGTGGGACCACCCACCTGTGTGTTTTTACGCGGGATAACGAGTGAGACTTACCCAGATAAAAAAATCACTTTGAAATAAGGCGCCAGGTCACGTGTGATAGTGAGATATTCGTCTTTCCGGTTCATCCTTGGATTTTTGGATTTTATCCAATACGCCTCAAGTCTTGCGCGTTAATGTTTTTGATTTCTGCGCTTGGATTCGTACAGTCAGTTCAAAAAAATCACCATTCTGCTTTTGTGCCTTATGTGTACCTAGCGGAGTACTTTGTCGTATTGCCAGCTTACCATTTAGATGTCCTTTAATGTGAACAAAAAGGGTCGGCTTTCATTTATACAACTAATCTTCATTAGCATTGTAGATAGTTCACCGAATTATACTAGTATTGCTATGCACAACTTTTATCTACTTCTCATTCTTCTTACATGAGAGAGTTTCATTGTGAAATACAACCACAATGAGGATGAGATATTTGGAAAACTTAAGCCCCAAGGCCAGATCGAAGTGCGATTGCACTTTCTGGGGATTCATTTGTTACTCACGGCTCCTCTGAAGCCCTTGCTTTTCCTTCCTCTTATCCAGTTTTTATATGGTTATAGTTACATATAGAGTTCATATGGATATAGGTACATATAGGAGGATATAGAGCACCTGTGGCGCAGTGGTCGGAGGGGCCTTGCAATACACACGCGGAATCGATCCCTGCGCCCATGGCCCATCAAGCCTTCCATCTTTCTGGGGTCGGTACATTAGTATCAGACTTGTCTGGGAAGATAGCAGCACCGACTTCATACATCAGCAGGCCACCACTGTTCATTGTAAAGGCCAGATATGCATTCAACCGCCTCCGAACGATACTTAGTGAAGTCGAACGCATGGCGCATCCTTCAAGGAATGGTCAACGCCGAGGGTTTTATCCTTTGTCCTTTTATAGGTAAATAGAATATGTCTGTGCTCTAAAGAAGGCGAAGTTGTCGAAACGTCAACCATCGAACCGGAGCAATGATAACAACTGATCTTAAGCTCACGTCTACTCAATAGATAGAAGCAGCTCGTAAGAATCACGCATATTAATTATTAATCCCGGGGTCGCTGGAAAGTGAAGTTTTTGAGTTATATCTACACAGTATGGCTAATTTGCTTGATCAAGATTAACTCTTTTAATTTCAATTTTTTTGTTGAACAACGCCTTTCATTATCCTCTTAGTAAGGCTAAAATGAGTCTAAACAGTTCCCAGGATCGACTTTCTATTAACCTCGACATTGGAGTATGAATGCGTGGTTTTCTTGTTCAGTAATCAAAATGAAGCTAAACGAATTATGCGTGCTCATTTGCTTTCTTTCTCTACCAAATTTTCCCTGAATTTTTTTCTTATTGAAATGGATTTTTTCTTATTCTAGAATAAGAACAAGTTCTGAGAACATAACTCGTTTTACTTTCCCCTCCTTTTATTACTGCTCCCTTACCAGGAAATTTTCCATTAGCTTAAGATTGCCAGAGAAAAAAAGAAAAACAAAATGACTAAGCCAAACGAATTGCCGGTTGTGTACTGAAAATATGATGATCTGGTGAAATAAATGTGAAGAAGCGATTTTCATTCTCTAATTGGGTTAGACATCTTCAGATCAAAGACGTCGACCAAGCGTCGTTCGGTGATTTGGGATTGTTTGGAGCCGAATTCCTCGAGAAACTGCTCACTGAAATTCTTCAGCTTGGCATTACCATGCCCACCATGTTGGGCGTGCAGCTGAAGAGCCCACGGTATGTGCAATGAATTCGATGAGCTTCTTGTTTTGTTAGTCAGTCATATCAAACATAACATTTCCTCTTCCTTTTCAGTCTGAGGTTTTTCTTGTTAGTTTGAAGTACTTCTATACAGACAACAGCGAATCGGTGTTATGTGCGATTATTAACACGTGAACTACATACATTGACTGCACTGTTCTTATCTGTTCACTAATCATGAAGACAGGTTTCAGACTCACGTTTCACGAACGTTATCTGCGAGTGCAAACATACTTCAAATTGGACGAACGCTTCACCAGCGATCTTTTCCAAAAAGCTGTACGAGAGACGTTAAGTCATGTCGGTTAATGGCGCGATATTTCATACACCTACGTCGAAATATCGCCAAAGCATCTCATTCGAGCAGTTTTTATTTGCACATTTGATTATGTGATTAGTCCTGTTCAATGGATGGAATGGTCTAACCTGACAAGCTTTCACTGGAGCAATTCTTTTTTTGCATTACTTCCCTACGTTCTCACCGATGATTTCTCGATTGTTTATTCGATCCTATTTTGTACTACAATTCCCTAAAGATTTCGAAGAGAAGCTAGGAAATTGACGAGCAAACTCAGATAGTGAATGGAAGTATGCCTCCGCATATGGACGAGTTTTCATTGTGCAACCTTGCTGATTTTCTGGCGCTCTCGAACAGATGGCATTATACTGCACAAAAAGTCGTTTATTATTCCTGTCGTTCATACATAGGACCACCTCACTGTTGCTACTTGAGTTTGTTCAGTATAACCGTCACATTCACTTGAAGCACATATACAAAAAACACGAGAACAAGGCATATAGTCAGACAAGAAATGAGGTCCGGTAGAATTTTATGTAGAACCGATATTTTTCCAAGTTCCACTGGGAAAAAAGTGAAAACTGAATTCGTTTCTTGGCGCTGTTTATCACGCCAAGAAACGAGGCCGTAGATTAACAAAGTTAACTTTACAAATGATTGATAGCTTAAAGCTGTCATTAGTTACCGTACATTCGATGTTGTTGACTTTTACGAATTACGATCAACTGAATTCTCTTCACTAAAATCTTTGTTGTGATCATGTTTGAAATACCTACTTTATGTCTTTTCTTAAGCTGAACTACGGGCAATTTTCACTGTTTTGGTTTCCTTGATTTGTTTACTTTCGCATATGCATTGTAATGTATTGTATGAAATTTTTAAAAGGATGAAAGTTGAGTTTTGAACAACGAAGTCATTCGAATGTTGAATGGTTTTGAGATGATACCATTACTGGAAATTGGCATGGAACATGGCGGATTCATTAAGCACATTAGCGACGGTATTCTCGCGTATTCATGTGCTTACATAAGGTCGTTACAAAAAACCCTTCTGAAGAACCTTTTTCGCAACTTTGCCTTCCTTAGAGCAGCGATGATTCCAGTCGGAAGTCTATGAAATGGCACCGGAATGAACCACTCGCTTTCGCATAGCGGCCTGCATGAAGAGGCGCTGCAGAGTAAGGCTACCTCATTAAAGACATGCTATACTCCAGAAGGCTCTGCACTACTTGTACAACGTATTTGCAGCTATAGATTGTGAAGACAAGAAGACCCGCAGTCACTCTATTATTTACTGCCTTCTGTTTTTTAACGGCAGGGTATTATGTGAAATATAACCATAATGACGCTGAGATATTTGCAAAACTCTAGCTCGCTGGTATCTGTGGTGGGCGCCGAACACGCTATTACCATTTCTGGGAGCTAACGCGTTCACCATCACACTATGCGAGTTTTCGCCATTCTCTCAACCATGCTATTGTCCTATCGATAAACTAATGGCGAGATTTGGTGGTGAACTCGTTCGCTAGTAGCGTGTACGGTCCCCATCGTGAGTACAAGCGCTCCGGAGTTTTGCAAATATCTGAGCTTCATTGTGAAAACGCCTGCGTTGTCGTAGAGGGTTAGAGTTCAACAAGGCTTTTTTTAAAACGACTTCAAGGTCTGTGAAATTATCACAAGAATGGAAGATGACATTAACTCGCATCTTTGTTTTTTTGAAGAAATTCCACAATCCTTTCATGGTGGAAGTGGTCATAAAAGCTCTCTATTAGGAAGAGTTGCATCATTCATGCGTTATAAGATAATTTCTCAATAAATATTTTGTCATTCTTCAAAGATATCATCAACCACTTCAATCACTTGATGCCTTTTAAGCTGCAGTATCGTGAGCATCATGCGAATGCTTTATCAATGTGAAAATAGATGGACTGCTTCATTCAAACTAGTAAATGACAATAGACCAGAGTTCAGCAGGGGACAAAGATCACCGACGACGTTTAACATGTCGAAACGCACACTTTATTCGCCGTAGCTCTGTATCTTCCAAACAGGCCCAAAATCCTGCGTTTGAGCTTGTACGGTGGAAAATCGGTCAGTGTTATAATGCGCGTATTCGAGACAGTGATACTGGAAGGATACTGTATCACACATTTAAGAAACAGACTTCAAAAAGCGAGCCTACTTCAACGAGCGATGGTCCAAGACACAAATACACTATGGTTTAAGCCAAGGTACTAGAAGTGAACTAATCTGGATACGTAATACGTCTCATTGATAACCAGTGGGCATGAGCCATTCAATTCTGTGTTACGCAGGAACGAAAACTTATAATGGAAAAGCCATCAGTCCGATCATAAGATTCGCTAAAAATATCATGGACAAGAATTATGACACTCATTGAATATCCAAATATACAAAGCTCACTGGATTACTCTAGTAAAGTAGGAGTAATACTTATTCATTCAACATTTTGACGTCTTCGTCTTCTTCAGAGCCATCGATTGGGATCATTCCGGCTCTAATGAACAGTTAGCCAAATAAATCGCACTATAACAACCTTGTACAAGTCCGATAACCTAGAATGATATTAATGAGCACACTTCCAAGTGATTTGGTGGTCATGGGCTGGGCAAACTAATATATGAGTTCAACCAAAGTTCCTTAAATCAAATGTTTATCAAGCAATCCGTATTAAGATCTGGTTTCTACTAATATAAAAGTCCCTCGGTAGTGCAGATATTTTCGATTTCCTATAGAAAATACACAGAACATCCTCTTATAAATCCAGGGAATGAGGGCCCACCAAGCTCCTGATCACTTTGGAGGCGGAAATTTGCTACTGGACTCGTCTGGGAAAGGTTCACTCCCTGCACACTAAGTGGGAACTCTTTCCTGGCCATCCTGGGACTCCATTGAAAATCGACTCGACCAGAATTCAACGACATTTATGACAAAAGAAGAATCCTCAAGAAGCAACCGAACTCATACACAAATAATCTAAGATGTGCTTGGATCGGCACAGTGGATGTGAGAGGCGAGTTGTGTAAAACATATTTCTAGTACTATTTATTGTACTGCTCAATATAAACAATTTTATCACTGCCTTAACAACCGACTTTCACTAAGCCTCGGCAACAATAATCGATAGTATTCTGAATGAATTTTCAAACCGGCCGTCATTTAACCTCGGTAGCAAAATAATCAACATGTATTTAAAATAATCCGAAACAAAAAAAATTTGTAAATCTATTTATTAACCGCGTGTAAGCTGAGCAATTTAAATACATGTTGATGATCCAGCACGAAGTTCTCCTACAAACTCAATCGTAGAGATTATCACTAATTTTGTCCCAGGATCGACTTTCTATTAACCTCGGCATTGGAATATGAATGTGTCGTTTTCTTGTTCAGCAATCGCGAGGTTTTTAAACAGCATACATTTACTTCCATAGAAAAACGCATCGCCTTCTTCAGAGCCTGGAAGGGTATACTGATATACAATCTACTAGGCCAAACGCTTCAATGACACTTACAAAAACACGAAGAACTCTCCGGTAATTATGTATTCTTTCTTGATAAGCTTGCACGAGGTTGATAAATATATTTATTTTCGGCTAACGTTTCGACGTCTTCGTCTTCCTCAGAGCCGGTGATCCAAGTCGGTGTTCCATGCTTGTTGTTCGCCTCGACGTTGCGTCTTCGCCTTCGTGTCGAGCCAGATCTTCCTCAGTGAGCCATCTTCTCGAATGAGGCATCCTCACTCAGTGATGCCCTTAAAGTCGGTTTCAAAATATTACTACGCTTTGTGCTAGCTGATAAAACACCGACTTCTGCACGATGTCCGCAACGATGTATGTACGGAAGAAATACAGGTTGTTACCACCGGACATTATCATTATATCCACCATCAGCATCGTGTATAAAAGGGCATCACTGAGTGAGGATGCCTCATTCGAGAAGATGGCTCACTGAGGAAGATCTGGCTCGACACGAAGGCGAAGACGCAACGTCGAGGCGAACAACAAGCATGGACCATCGACTCGGATCACCGGCTCTGAGGAAGACGAAGACGTCGAAACGTTAGCCGAAAATAAATATATTTATCAACCTCGTGCAAGCTTATCAAGAAAGAATACATATTGATTAGTCACACCGAGGTTTAGGGAAGGTCGGTTTCGAAATATCTTGTGACACGCGAAGCCGTCGAGCTGTCATTTGTCGTTAGTGTGCGAGAATTACTACACGATCGTTATTAAGAATGAGTGACTTTTTGGCGCCTTTTTGCTTTCATGAGTTTCCTCTAAGACGCTTCTAGTTCACGGTATGCTCTATAAATGTTAGTTTCTGTTCTCTGGTTGTAGAACAAAATGGTTCGGATCATCAGCTTTGATAAAGACGAAGGCGTCAAAACATTAGCCAAATAAGCCTTTTTATCAGTTTTGTGTTAGCTCTAAAATCCAAGAAGTTATTGATTATTGCTATCGAGGTTGGACGACGGCCGGTTTGAAAGAATAAAATGGAGTAGCCACAGAATATGACTAAGACTAAGTCGACAATTCCCTTTGAACCTTACGGAACTTGAGTTCTGTTTAGCACCGATAAGCTGGGTCGTGAAAATTTCTTATGTTTCATAGTTAGTGGAAACAAGACAAATTCCAAGCAAAAGATTTTAATCTTGTTCACTTTTTTAAGAACTTCTTCCATATATAATTGTGTACGAACTTCAAATATCTCCAACTACTCCAACTCCAAGTACTAATGCGATAGAATAAACTAGAACTAATGCCTGAGCTTCTAATGCTCACCCTATTTTACCTACAAATATGAATTCAAAAAGTTGTTTGGTTAGATTACCACCCCAGTTTTTTGTTTGTCTAAACAATTTAGGATCGATGATTTTATCAGTACTGTTCTACCAGAATCTTACGAATATGGAATCCTGATAACTTCATATTACGTTTCTCATTCCACAAAAATCTAAAGCACCTGCCCCATGTAAGCTGTTGTGCAGT